GGCAGGAGAGAGGGAATTGGGGATCAAAAGCAAGACATTTAACAGACACAGAAATGGAAAATTACCTGTGGTAGCGTGTCTAGCAACCTCTCTGACTAGACAAACGCAGCATATTCGCGTCTGCAAAGACTGTTTGTATGCTATAAAGATGTACAGTTATGAAATGCTAGAGAGAGGGTTCCTTTAAACGGGACATTAAGGTCTCCTGTACCTGTACCGTTACTAGGGAACAGCGGGTACGTACAGCCCTCGGGGAGTCCGGAGCAGTGTGCTCAGCGGGACGACTGCTGCCTCTCCGCCCAGTGCTCTGGGGCCAGGCCAGTCCCTCCTCCTCTGCTGTGCCCTCAGCCACATGGAGCCGCGCACAGAAGGTGTGGGAGTCCCTGCTCGAGGAGCTGCAGCACGCAGGGACAGATCTCAGGATTCTCTTGTTGGCCGACCAACCCAGTTCTTGCCCCTTTCTGCTTGTACCTCTCAGGAATTGCTGTAGAGGGCCCGGAGGTGGGGGGGGGGGGGGGGGGGAGGGGCCCCAGGTTCACGTCAGGGGCGTGCATGCTGGCTGACTGGGCCTGGGCTGGGGTGGCACTGTGAGGGTTCTGTGGGGTGCCTTTCTCTTTGTCTCTCTCTCTCATGGAAGAAGTAAACTTAAAGGGGAAAAGGATTAATAGTTGTAAAAGGTGTGGAAATGGCAGCACTCTGATACCAAAGGGGTGGGGCTGGCTGAGCTCTGTCCCAGGAGCCCTTCCTGTCCCGAGTCAGGGTGCCCAGGCCAGTTCAACGCCTCAGCTCAGGGTCCGCGAGAGTCCTGTGTAAACCCTGGGGGGCTTCTTTCCAGGGTCCCTCAAGCTGCCCTGGACCTGAAGGGACCAGCCCCATTGCAGCTGACCTCCTGTGGTCACGTGCTGTCCGTGCTGACGAAGCTGCTGAGGGGACCCTGTCTCTGTACTTAGAGCCACCGGGCAGCAGCCCTGCTGCACTGTCGCGACCCCACCCCGTGCAGAGTCGGGGCCACGCATGGAAGCAGCTCTCACATCTGTGGGCAGTGACCACACACTGACAGACAGCTGGGTTTGGGGCTTTGGTCATTAACAGTTTATTACTGGCACACTTATCAGGAAAGCATACATAAAATACAGCTGTTTAAGCACATGGAGCCACTGTGTAGAGGAACATATTAATATGCAAATGGAAAATTAGTCCTCTTATAAAGTCTCACATAAATACACTGAAATTGCCCAAGAAGAAAAAATCCCCATTAAAGAGCCAGGTGAAGCCTTTACAAAATACTATACAAGAAATATGCTATGAAAAGAAAGGTCAACTGAGATACAATAAAAAAACACAAAAAAGGTTCAGATTTATTAAACTGCTCACAAAATTAATGGATTACATGGCTTGAAAATATTTGGATCAACAGCAACTTTACAAATGCGTAAATTCTCAAGCATCCAATTATCTTTCTTTACATTAAAATCTGCCCTGGCGTCTTTGATGACAAAGACATTTCTTGTTTCAGCATTTGGGCTACGTTGAACCGGCTCAGACTGAGAACCAGCTGACATCAGCTTGGCCATAAATGACCTCGCTGGGCCCTGTTAGCTGCTGCCTAAAGAAAGAAAACTCGAAGAAAAAAATAGAGGTACATTTAAATTACTTTCCAAAAGCTAATTTTTTTCTTTTCTTTTTCTTTTTCTTTTTTTTATTTTTTAAGTAAACTTAAAGGGGAAAAGGATTAATAGTTGTAAAAGGTGTGGAAATGGCAGCACTCTGATACCAAAGGGGTGGGGCTGGCTGAGCTCTGTCCCAGGAGCCCTTCCTGTCCCGAGTCAGGGTGCCCAGGCCAGTTCAACGCCTCAGCTCAGGGTCCGCGAGAGTCCTGTGTAAACCCTGGGGGGCTTCTTTCCAGGGTCCCTCAAGCTGCCCTGGACCTGAAGGGACCAGCCCCATTGCAGCTGACCTCCTGTGGTCACGTGCTGTCCGTGCTGACGAAGCTGCTGAGGGGACCCTGTCTCTGTACTTAGAGCCACCGGGCAGCAGCCCTGCTGCACTGTCGCGACCCCACCCCGTGCAGAGTCGGGGCCACGCATGGAAGCAGCTCTCACATCTGTGGGCAGTGACCACACACTGACAGACAGCTGGGTTTGGGGCTTTGGTCATTAACAGTTTATTACTGGCACACTTATCAGGAAAGCATACATAAAATACAGCTGTTTAAGCACATGGAGCCACTGTGTAGAGGAACATATTAATATGCAAATGGAAAATTAGTCCTCTTATAAAGTCTCACATAAATACACTGAAATTGCCCAAGAAGAAAAAATCCCCATTAAAGAGCCAGGTGAAGCCTTTACAAAATACTATACAAGAAATATGCTATGAAAAGAAAGGTCAACTGAGATACAATAAAAAAACACAAAAAAGGTTCAGATTTATTAAACTGCTCACAAAATTAATGGATTACATGGCTTGAAAATATTTGGATCAACAGCAACTTTACAAATGCGTAAATTCTCAAGCATCCAATTATCTTTCTTTACATTAAAATCTGCCCTGGCGTCTTTGATGACAAAGACATTTCTTGTTTCAGCATTTGGGCTACGTTGAACCGGCTCAGACTGAGAACCAGCTGACATCAGCTTGGCCATAAATGACCTCGCTGGGCCCTGTTAGCTGCTGCCTAAAGAAAGAAAACTCGAAGAAAAAAATAGAGGTACATTTAAATTACTTTCCAAAAGCTAATTTTTTTCTTTTCTTTTTCTTTTTCTTTTTTTTATTTTTTACTGAAACAAGAAACTCTCAGATGCAAGTCAAAAAGCAGAAAATATTTTACAGTATTAAAAAGTCATGTGTCGTCCGCCGGCACACCACCGATCCCGAGCACGCAGCGCTGACAGACAGCACGGCCTTCGCTTGACCGTGAGGAGAGTCACACAAGCGCGCTAAGCCCTCCCAGGAGCTGCGCGGCGTCACTGGCTCTAACCGTGGTCAGCGCCAGAATCGCATCTACCTGCGAAGGCCTCCAGGGAAGGTCACGGAAGCCTATCGGGAATGATCTTCTCAATTGAAAAACAAAAAAAGAAAGAAAGAAAATCAGATCACTGTGGTTTAGAAATAGATATTTGCACGGAAAAGTTTTTTCTCTTCTCTCCTCTCCTGCAAGTAAAGATCGGAACGTGCATGGAACCCGCAGGCCGAGGGCAACTGGGGCCCAGCAGCTCACTGGGAAGCCTGGGGCGGGGGGTTTTCTGATTTGGTCTCTGGAGCGGCCGGGGGCTTACTGTTCCATGGGCTGTTGTTCCCCAGGGCGGGTGAATTGCTGAAGTCCTCCTCGTCGTCCATGCCGTTGGCCGCGTCATACTGCGTGTTTTCTAATCTAGTGATTAGCCTCTCGTCCTCGTCCCCAAACTCACCTCCCATCAGGGTTGGTTCTCCTACCACCATCACGTCCTGCGGACAGCAGCTGGCATTATTACAGGGAACTCAGGGGAGGCGCAGCTTAGAACAACCGCGGGCGCGCTGGGGGCCTAGGGCGGACACTCGTGCAGGGCACCGGGCTGGCGGGGCTCGCGTGACCTCTACGGGGAATAAGCATGCCTCCTGACGTGTGCAACCACGCGGGCTCACGTCCTCAGTGAGCGGCCTGACACCGGGGAGCGGGCAAGGCTAGCCATCTGCAGAGATAAAGAAACGGGCTTTTCAAATCAAGGCAATGCGAGCTTTGGACGTGCTGCCCTTGGGGACTTCTGAGAGGGCTGTGGGACCTTCCGCTGGGTGCTTCTCAATGCCACTTTCTGTGAGGGCTGTGAGTGGCTTTGGAAACCGGCAGTGAACAGAGACACGGGTGAGGCTGCTCTGCACCACCGACAACGCTTTCCCGATGGCCTCTCTGTTCTGAAAGGGGATGGTGCACATTTTAACTGAAGGCAGATCCTCTCCTTCCTCTACTCAGCCAGGCCCCTTTATGCAGCCAATATCCTTGACATTCTGCTACTTAATTATGCTAATTAATTTAGGTAAAGTTTTCGATAAAAACAATGTTCACACTGATTTGACAATTTGCATAGCTAATTAAGTCATTAGCAAAAACCTGCTGATTGCCAACAAGTCCTGAATTTACCATCTGTTATTTCATGGTGCCTGTCACCTCTCCACACACAGGCAGCTCTGCGACCAGTCTGGGCAGTGCTGAGAACCAGGCCGTCCAGCTGACACCATGAAAGGGGGTGAAGAGCACTGACTATCACGCTGAAAAGCTGGTCGTCATCAGAAAGGGAAGCTCGAGGAAGACCCCATCTACTCACTCCTGCGAGGGTGAACTGTCCTGAGCCACCCAGGTAGCAGGCAGCGCACGGAGGCCAGTGTGGGCAGACCCGGGTGGGGGCAAAGCGCACGGGGCACAGCTCTGGCCTCTTCATTCAAAGGGAGCAATGTGGGTTGATAGGTGGCTATGGGACAGAGATTCCTCTGGACAGGCTCTGAGCAAGGTTCTATTTAGAGCACAGTGGCTGCGGGAGTGACCCGCAGGTACCAGGAAAAGCAGGGTTAGGCCAGTGGCTTTTGGAGAGGTGAGGGTGAGTTTCCTGGGAGGGAGGCTGATTCACACATGTGACAACTGGTAAAAACATTTTGCCAAGAGAAGGCTTTTCTGGGGTGGTATAATAGAACCTGGCTACAGCCAGAGGAGATTGGCGGGCTCGAGATCCCGTCCAGAACCGCTGAACTGGGCCCCAGCTGCTGCCTGGTCTGCTTGAATGGAAAACCTTGTTTTGTTTTGTTTTGTTTTGTTTCTCCCTTGAGTTAGGGGAGATAACCAATAGGTTTCCAAAGTACGTTTTCTGACTACTCTTGTGATCTGATAAAAATGATGCTAAAAGCAAGCGTCCCAGGTAGGGTAGGTGTAAGCGCGGCACGCCCAGTAGGAGTGGAGCACACGGGATGTGCGTCTGAGAACAGTCACTGTGCACAAAGAACGAGAAATGGCGCTGCCGTCCAGAGGCCCCGGAGGGCCCAGGGTAAGATGCAAAGTGCACATGATTTGCGACCCACAAGAACACGACTGAGCTCTGCCTGCTAGCCAGGCCGCTGCCGTGTGACTGCCTGGGGACGTTTGGGCTGAGAAGTGACACTTGGCTGCAGGCAGCTGGGAGACCACACTCACTCTCAGGAAGAGGCCAGAGGGAGGGATACGGCAAGACTGGCCAGAGCAGGGCGCGAGGGTCAGTTCATTCACGGCTTGTGTGCGGCACATCGAGGGCTTGGAAACACGCAGGTGTTGTGGAGGGGCAGGAGAGGGACGTTAGAGCAAGCCACATGGTCTGCATTGGTGCCGGCTCTGAGGCCATGAGAGGGGACAGGCACAGTTTGAGAGAAAGAGGAGAAAAGAAGAACAGCCCACGTAAGCATGCCTTCGGGAGGAACTGCGCACTCCAGACGCACTCCTCGTACTGGAGAACAAGAGCCACCAAGAACAGTGCCATGGAACTAGCGGGCTGCCGATGCGCTTGCCCACGTAGGTAGGTCATTCTTTGTTCTAGGAACAGCTAGAAAAGACGCCTGGCCTAGGTGTTTTAAGCGCCTGAATTCCAGAGCGATGCCACTTTTGCTCGCTTATTGTAAAAAGTGTCCTTAGCCATACATGCAATCGCATGGGCACATACATGTGTGACCGAGACGGCAAGCCACAAAACAGGCACACACTAGGGACCTCCTGTGCACAAAGACATTCAAGGACACCGGGACCACCCTCAAACCCCTGCTCATCTCCATGGCTTTTCGAACCTGCTCAGTCTGTTTGTTGTTCACACACGGAATAAGTGAGGACAGGGCACACCGGGGCTGCCTCTAGCCAGGGGTGCCAGCAGCACTCACCCACCCCCACATCTGTGAACCCCCAGGTGGCAGCGAGAGTGCGGCTCCTTCCCGTCTCCACCGTGTGTGTCCAGGGCAGCGTGATCCACCTGAGCAACCAGCGCTCCCCCAAGGCCAACCTCTGCGGCTCCCCCGGCGGCCCAGGCCGGCGTTATCCCCCTGACAACCCAGCGCCCCCCCAAGCCCAACCTCTGCGGCTCGCCGGAAGCCGAGTGCCTCCAGCTCCTGGCCAACTCACATCTCACTATCCCCGTGCAAGGACCACCAACCTCTGAGGAGGACGGGAAGTGACTCCTTTCAGGGCCCCTCAACGATCCTCCTTAAATTGGCCAGGAGGGGTCACTGCTGCTGAATGACACGGGTCTCCATCCCTCCCAGGGCTGAGGCTGCAGTTCGGGATGGCTCCTAGCCCCTGCTCATGGGGTGAGAAGCAGAAGCCAAGGGTTAAACCCGAGCCCTCTCGGCACTCCTGCCACCAAGCGCTGCCCGTGAGGGCACACGCCCTGGGCCAGGCAGCTAGCGCCTGCAGACCACATTTCTGTTGAGACAGGGGTAGAGTTGAAACAGTGTTGATGGGGTTGACGTGTGTAGCCACTACTAGCCACAGTGCCCGCCACTCAAGGTCTACCCACTCGGGAAACAGATTTGCAGTTTCCTAAGCATTCAGAGGTTCTGCCTCTCTTGGCCATCTGAACATTTTACTTAATTAAAGCAGCTTTAATTGCACAGACTAAGAAAAGAGCTGAGATTCAGCTCTCTCTCGGTGTCTTGCTCACACAAAGTCCAAGGGGCCTCGACTCATTAAAAACTCTTGACACAGGCGTCTTCCCTAATGTGCAGCTGCAGGTGGGAGGGTAGCAGCCCGATGACATGGAGACAAAGCCAAGCTAACCTCCTCTAGGAG